GATGTCTGAGGGCAATAATACATCCTCAGCAGTACACCCTGCCCCCAGTGTTGCCACCGCATCGGCGAGCCATCCTCTTGCTGCTGCCGACGGTAATACTGTTGCTTCTGACAATGGCCTTATGCTTAATGGTTGGCATGAGCAACCTTTCCAAGAAGGAAGACTCTTCATCCCTGATCACGAAAAAGATGAAATGATGTCGGTTGAACCATATCAGTGTACGGTTAGACATATCGCTAGTCCTAACCCCCAGGACAACAGCCAGTCATCTATCTCGCAGTCAGACCCTTTGCACTCAGGGTGGGAAATGCGTGCTACATCCGCCAGCCGGGTGTACTTTGTAAATCACAGTACGAAGACAACCACCTGGGAGGATCCGCAATTGCATTCAAATCTCGACTCCAATATGCCACAGAACAAACATGACTTCCGTAGTAAGCTTGTCTACTTTAGAAGTCTGCCTGCCATGCAGGCACAGCCTGGTATCTGCGAGATCAAAGTTCGGAGAACCCATGTATTGGAGGATAGTTATGCGGAGATCATGAGGCAGTCTCCCAATGACCTAAAGAAGAAACTGAATATCGAATTTAAAGGCGAAACATGTGTTAATTATAATGATTCATCAAGGTGCATTTCTTTGCTCAGGAAGCAACACAATATTATTAACATCGACAAAGGGAATTCTTCTTTCTGCTGTCTCACGAGATATTCAATCCATGCTACGGCATGTTCAAATACACCGCTCATCACAACTACATTCTTCAGATCAACCCTGCATCTTGTATTGACTCGAAATGTTTTGAGTTCATTGGCCGCTGCCTCTCCCTCTTCATCTTCCACTGTCGCTTCTTAGATGCGTACTTTACTGCCAGCTTCTACAAGCTCATCCTTAGGAAGAAGGTCACATTTGAAGACTTGGAATGTGTCGATGCTGACCTACACCACACATTGTCTTGGATACTGTACGTATTACCCCTACCACAATACCATTGTTTCCTGAAATTGTTTTCAGCGAAAATGACATCACAGGTGTCATTACCAATGAAACCTTCACAGTGACTGAAGAAAATTCCGGCAAAATAGTTACAATTAAGCTCAAGCCCAGAGGTGCGGACATAGTGGTCAACGAGGATAACAAATCAGACTATGTCAACACCATTGTGGAATACTATATCTCGAAGCGTGTCAAGCAGCAAGTCGACACATTCATGTCTGGATTCACAGAGCTCATCGCTCAAAATCTCATCACCATTTTTGATGAGCACAAACTGCAACTGTTGATTGGTGGAATGTCAGCAATCGATGTGTAGGTGTATTCTTCTAACCTTATAGTTGTATTGTCTTCATTTATTGCATCAGTTATAGCAACAACTGGATCAAGTTCACAGAGTACCTTGGTTACGGAATGAACAATGATGTAATCCAGTGGTTCTGGGAGTGTGTGCGTAGTTGGCCACCTGAACGCAAGACTCGCCTCTTGCAATTTGTGACAGGCACATCATAAGATTTTCCCTTCGACAAAATTCGGGTCACTAATACATTCACATCCCTCGAACCCAGGCGTATCCCGGTCAGCGGATTCAAAAACCTTCAAGGAAGTAACGGTCCTTGTAAATTTACTATTGTGAAGTTTGATGACCACTCTCAACCACTGAAAAGTTATATACGCTTTAACCATATCGATCTACCGTCGTATAAGAACTATGCTCATTTGGAGCAGATACTAATATCTGCCATCAGGTGTGCCTGCATTTTTTCATTGTCTCATTACATTGCTAATGGCACAACTACAGTGCCACTGACAGCGATCTGTGCATGTAGTTCATTAATATAAAATTCTACCTCTGAAACACTTTATTGGCTGCTAGTAAAACACCAAAAGCTACGAGCGACCACTCCCCAGGGATAGATCCGTTACCAACACCAAATACAAGCAGGAAAACCATGTATACCAATGTCCGCAACAAGGCTAACAACTCGGGAAACACTAAATTCATTCCACAGAAGCAGCAACGTAGTCATGCACGACAACATTTACGTCGTGTGGGTTCTTCACTGCTCAGGGTCGCCGCAAAAATTGCAGTTGAAACTGTCGTTAACGTGGGTATTAGTCTTCTGATAAACCAGCCGGTGAATGTCAACAGCGGAAATTGGGTTGGTGACGGAGGAGGAGGCGGAGGAGGGAGTGGCGGTATTGATCTCTCGTCAAACTCCCAGTCTTCTGACGGGTTTTGGGATCCAATTCAACAGGGAGCAATTGACCCGATTCACTGATATGTAGTGTCAAGAAACACATGACACAATCTCGAAGTTAATCCGATGTTATTTTTCTCATAATCCCCCAGTTCGTCATCTGAAAGCACTCGCGACGCATTTGTTGCCGAATTGTTGTCCTTCTTTTTGAATGCACTGCTTTCGCTCAGCGCTAACCACCAGCCTTTTGGTGATTATTAGTGACAGCTTATAAATGCTAAAAGACAAGCTATGTTCATCTATGATTGACTAGATGTGTTGTCACTGCGCGGCTTGCCGTTTGGTTCACAATTTGACACTGGTAAGATTAATCCTACCCTAAATTTCTAGATGTGTTGGGATCAATCCGACACTGGTTCTAAATATATATTTAAGTATCCAATCCTGTCCAATCCTATCTAATCCTATCTAATCCAATGAAAAACAACTGCACTGACAGGGAATTGAAGTGACAACCTCAACATTCACAAACCATAAATGTGTTACTAACCACTAGGCTATTGTACCATGATGTAAGAGCAAAGTGGCACCATCATATGGGCTGTGAGATGACTATATCAGATATGACCTCTGAGCTTACAGCCTTTGGTTAAAGTGCAAATTTCAGCTTCTGACTGCATGGTGACTCACCTTAGCAAATTTCTGACATCCTATAATAATAGACCTTGTAAATATAGCTTGTATTTTAGGTTTTAATATTCAGAGACTTTTACACCAGAGAAATATCAAGTTTTCTCCCCATGACATAATTTGAATACTTCCCAGAAAGATAAATACACTATTGGCTGCATGGGATGATTGAAGACAAAATTAGAATATGAAATTATTTATTTCTGTGAAACAAAAGTCCAAAACATAATCAGATAATAATAATAATCTGGACAAAGCCTGTGTTCATGATAATTACTTAGGGAATCTGATTGTGTTTTTTTTCTGCTTGCCAAAGAGAATCAGATTATTGTTTTGCTTTTGTCAAAGATTATCATCACGGAAAATATGTATTGGACTGCCCCAAGCCACTCTGGAACAGCTGGTTCATGAAGATAATTTTTGACAAAAGCAAAACAATAATCTGATTCTCTTTGGCAATTAAAAAAATAAACACAATCGGATTCCCTAAGTAATTATGTATCATAAACACAGGCTTTGTCCAAATTTATATTATTATCAAATTTTGTTTTGGACTTTCGTTTCACAGGAATAAATAATTTCATATTCTAATTTTGTCTTCAATCATCTCATGCAACCAATAATGTTCAAATAATGTCATGGGAAGAAAACTTGATATTTCTTGGGTGTAAAAGTATCTGATTAACACCTAAAATCAAGCTGAAATTTGCACTTTAACCAAAGGCTGTAAGCTCAGAGGTCATATCTGATATAGTCATCTCACAGCCC